TGCCAACTAGACATGGAGCCATTGATCACTACCCGTTGAGCCCGACAATCTAGCCAACTTTCTATCCACCTTATAGTCCATTCATCCAGCCCATACTTCTTTAACTTGCTGGCAAGAATACTGTGGGAGACCGTGTCAAAAACTTTGCTAAAGTCAAGGAACAACATGTCCACCGCTTTCCCCTCATCCACAGAGCCAGTTATCTCATCATAGAAGCCAATTAGATTAGTCAGGCATGACTTGCCCTTGGTGAATCCATGCTGACTGTTCCTGATCACTTTCCTCTCCTCTAAGTGCTTCAGAATTGATTCCTTGAGGACCTGCTCCATGATTTTTCCAGGGATTGAGGTGAGGCTGACTGGCCTGTAGTTCCCAGGATCATCCTGCTTCCCTTTTTTAAAGATGGGCACTACATTAGCCTTTTTCCAGTCATCCGAGACTTCCCCCGATCGCCATGAGTTTTCAAAGATAATGGCCAATGGCTCTGCAATCACATCCGCCAACTCCTTTAGCACTTTCGGATGCAGCGCATCCGGCCCTATGGACTTGTGCTCATCCAGCTTTTCTAAATAGTCCCGAACCACTTCTTTCTCCACAAAGGGCTGGTCACCTCCTCCCCATGCTGTGTTGCCCAGTGCAGCAGTCTGGGATCTGACCTTGTTTGTGAAGACAGAGGCAAAAAAGGCATTGAGTACATTAGCTTTTTCCACATCCTCTGTCACTAGGTTGCCTCCCTCATTCAGTAAGGGGCCCACACTTTCCTCAACTTTCTTCTTGATGCTAACATACCTGAAGAAACCCTTCTTGTTACTCTTAACATCTCTTGCTAGCTGCAACTCCAGATGTGATTTGGCCTTCTTGATTTCACTCCTGCATGCCCGAGCAATATTTTTATACTCTTCCCTGGTCATTTGTCCAATCTTCCACTTCTTGTAAGCTTCTTTTTTGTGTTTAAGATCAGCAAGGATTTCACTGTTAAGCGAAGCTGGTTGCCTGCCATATTTACTATTCTTTCTACACATCGGGATGGTTTGTCCCTGTAACCTCAATAAGGATTCTTTAAAATACAGCCAGCTCTCCTGGACTCCTTTCCCCCTCAAGTTATTCTCCCAGGGGATCCTGGGCATCAGTTCCTGGAGGGAGTCGAAGTCTGCTTTTCTGAAGTCCAGGGTCCGTATTCTGCTGCTCTCCTTTCTTCCCTGTGTCAGGATCCTGAACTTGACCATCTCATGGTCACTGCCTCCCAGGTTCCCATCCACTTTTGCTTCTCTGACTAATTCTTCCCAGTTTGTGAGCAGCAGGTCAAGAAGAGCTCTGCCCCTAGTTGGTTCCTCCAGCACTTGCACCAGGAAATTGTCCCCTACACTTTCCAAAAACTTCCTGGATTGTCTGTGCACTGCTGTATTGCTCTCCCAGCAGATATCAGGGTGATTGAAGTCTCCCATGAGAACCAGGGCCTGTGATCTAGTAACTTCTGTGAGTTGCCAGAAGAAAGCCTCGTCCACCTCATCCCCCTGGTCCGGTGGTCTATAGCAGACTCCCACCACTACATCACCCTTGTTGCTCACACTTCTAAACTTAATCCAGAGACACTCAGGTTTTTCTGCAGTTTCATACTTGAGCTCTGAGCAGTCATATTGCTCCCTTACATACAGTGAAACTCCCCCACCTTTTCTGCCCTGCCTGTCCTTCCTCAACAGTTTATATCCATCCATGACAGTACTCCAGTCATGTGAGTTATCCCACCAAGTCACTGTTATTCCAATCACATCATAATTCCTTGACTGTGCCAGGACTTCCAGTTCTCCCTGCTTGTTTCCCAGGCTTCTTGCATTTGTGTATAGGCACTTGAGGTAACTCGCTGACCGGTCCCTCTTTCTCAGTATGAGGCAGGAGCCCTGCCCTCTCGTGCGCTCCTGCTCCCTCCCGGTATCCCACTTCCCCCAGGGCTTTAGTCTCCTTCCCCTGCTGAACCTAGTTTAAAGCCCTCCTCACTAGGTTAGCCAGCTTGCTTGCGAAGATGCTCTTCTCTCTCTTAGTTAGGTGGAGCCCATCTCTGCCTAGCACTCCTCCTTCTTGGAACACCATCCCATGGTCAGAGAATCCAAAGCCTTCTCTTCGACACCACCTGCGTAGCCATTCGTTGACTTCCACGATTCGACGGTCTCTTCCCAGGCCTTTTCCTTCCACGGGGAGGATGGACGAGAAGACCACTTGCACCTCAAACTCCTTTATCCTTCTTCCCAGAGCCACATAGTCTGCAATGATCCGCTCAAGGTCATTCTTGGCAGTATCATTGGTGCCCACGTGGAGAAGCAGGAAGGGGTAGCGATTTCAAATAAAGGAGAAACAGGATCTGGAAAAATTAGAAAACATCCAGCGGAGGGCAACAAAAATGATTAGGGGACTGGAACACATGACTTATGAGGAGAGGCTGAGGGAACTGGGATTGTTTAGTCTGCGGAAGAGAAGAATGAGGGGAAATTTGATAGCTTCTTTCAACTACCTGAAAGGGGGTTCCAAAGAGGATGGATCTAGACTGTTCTCAGTGGTAGCAGATGACAGAACAAGGAGTAATGGTCTTAAGTTGCAGTGGGGGAGGTTAAGGTTTGATATTAGGAAAAAAAATTTTCACTAGGAGGGTGGTGAAACACTGGAATGCATTACCTAGGGAGGTGGTGGAATCTCCTTCCTTAGAAGTTTTTAAGTTCAGGCTTGACAAAGCCCTGGCTGGGATGATTTAGTTGGGGATTGGTCCTGCTTTGAGCAGGTGGTTGGATTAGATGACCTCCTGAGGTCCCTTCCAACCCTGATATTCTATGATTCTATGATCTGGTATCATGGGAACTGGTACAGAGTCCTTGAGTGTCCCATCGAAACACCAGCTTAGAACCCCTTGGATGTCTCAGGGTGGGGGTGGGGAGGCATTGACACTGAGGTAGAAGACGGTGGTGGCCTACACCTAAAACCCCTTCTCTGCGGATCCTGACTGGCAGCTGGGGCAGAGAACCAGATGGGCTGTTGAAGTCTGTAGTACTTCCTTGAAGGAGCTGGTATGTACAATGCCAGAGACTTAAGGATCATCCTGGAGTCTTTTAGACTATGAAACTTCACATCAGTCTGATCTCAAAAGTGCGAAGTTCCTTCAAAAGGTAGGTCCTGACGGGTTTGCTGAACCTCCTGTGGGAGTCCTGAGAACTGTAGCCACGAACTCCTGCACATGGTCACTGCCGAAGTCAGAGACCTGACTGCAGAGTCAACTGCATCCAAAACAACTTGCAACCTCGCCACTGATTTTCGCTCATCCACCAGTGAAGAGAACCCTTGCCTAGCATCTTGTGGGAGCAAGTCCTTGAATTTCTGTATGGAGTCCCACATATTAAAATCATACCTTCCCAGCAGTGTCTGCTGGTTTGAAATTCTGAGTTGTAACTCCCCAGTAGGATAACCTTTCCGACTGAACACATCTAATGTCTTTGAGTCTTTTGATTTTGGGGCTGCACCCTGATGACCCTGCCTTTTTCTCCCATTAGCAGCAGCTAGCACCAGGGATTCCTGGGAGGAGAGGAATGGATGCACAGGAACTCATAACCCCGGCAGGAGCAAAGTATTTTTGTTCAGCCCTTTCTGACAAAGGGAATGGGACGTGGAGATCTGCCACAAGGTCTTAACAAGGTCCATAATGGCCTCATCGACAGGCAGGGCTATTTCTGAGGGGCCCGTAGCAGCTAAAATGTCAACCAGGCTATTGGAGGACTCTTTCACTTCCTTCACCTGTATGCCCAGACTTAAGACCACCCTCTTTAACAAGACTGGTGCCATGATGAAGATGCCTTCACTGAGGACAGCATAGCCAGCTTCCCTTTTGATGGTAGCAAAGGGCATGGTACTGAACAATGACAGGATCCAGTGGGTTCCCTCCTGTCCACAGGCACCGATAACACCAACTCTTGAACTGCCAGTGATACTGGTATCTGACTGCAGCAAACGCCTCTGGTGTGGTCATGCTGTGCAGCAGATGTAGACAGCTCTTCTGGTACCGGATTGGATGGTGCCTACATAGGCACCAAAGTGAACGGTGCCAACTTTTGTGGTACCGAGGCAGAGGAGTGCTTGGTTTAGATTGCACTCTAATCTGATTCCCATGCCTGGCTGTCTTTGGTGCCAGGGATCGCCTCTTCTTGACTGTCTCTGTCTTGTGCCCTTTCCTTGGCACTAGGGATGGTGATCGGTGCCAGGACTTTGGTACGATAGAAGGAGTACTCCTTACTGACACTGAGGCATTCAGTGCAGAATCCAATTGGCTTGGCTGAAATGGAGGTCTCAGTGCTGCCTCCATGAGCAAAAATTTTAGCCTGGCCTCCCGGTCCTCCTCCTCCAAAGCTTAAAGTCCCTACAGATCTGGCAATGGTCCCCCTCGTGAGCTTCTTCCAGGCACTTCAGGCAGCTTGAGTGCAGGTCACTCAGCAGCATAGCCTTGTTGCAGGAGGCACACGGCTTAAAGCCCTGTGACCAAGGCATGCCTCGGAACCGGGGAACAGATAAAACTCCACTAAAACACTAAGTTACAGAACTTCACTAAAATTAGCTATAAGTGACTAAAAACTGACTACAACTAACTATATACATAAAGAAAAAGACCACTGAGAGAGCTTCTAAAAGTAAGTATAGCAGTTCCAGTGACTGTCACAGGCAGTAAGAAGGAATTGAGGGGCCGCGGGTTTGGCTGGATGCTTTATACCAGCGCTACCAAAGTGTGGCAGCAGAGGGCGCTCAAGCTGCCCGACAGGTACCACTGACGGAAAAAATTGCAGTGACTGTGCTCGGGCATGGACACACCTAGAGTTGAATGTACATGTGCAATCACTTGAACACACTGTGCCACTCACAACTACAATGGATGATGGAATCTGCACTAGTGAACTAGTGCATGTTTACCTAAGAGTCCTACTCTGAATAAGGAATGAGCAAACTGTGCTGAATGCACAACTGATCCTTACTTTAAGTGTGCTGTTCTTGGCAGTCAGCTGCTGCTCCAGCTGTGATATCTGGCTGGTGGAGTTCTCACGAAGTTTGGTGAGGCTGCCTTGGAGTCTCTGGACATCTTCTACGAGCTGGGCAATTTCACGTTCTTTTGCAGCCAGTTCCACCTCCAAGCTAGATCGCGTCAGCACCTCTATGGCCTGCTCCTAATGTGAAAGAAATAACATTATACCATATCAATACAGGCAACGTGCTCAAACAGGAGGCAGTTTGGTCAGGACCAAGCATGGAACTGGAAGTCAGAAACTCCTGATAGAGAGAACAGATTTAGCTACACCACATGGGTGTTGGGAAGACCCAGGAGTTAATATCTACATGGTGCTTTGAAGATACAAAATGCTCTATTTAACATTATTGAATATTATTAATAATAGTACTTCTGGTAATGAAATCTTGTGCTTTAAAAATAATCAGATAGTATGCCATTTCAGAAGAATGGGGGGGGAAATGTTTGACCTATAAATTACAATCTGGGTCAGACCAATGGTCCATCTAGCCCAGTAACCTGTCTTCTCACAGTGGCCAATGCCAGGTGCTTCAGAGGGAATGAACAAAACAGGCAAACATTCCCTGTTATCCACTCCCAGTTTCTGGCAATAGCCATTGATGGGCCCATCATCCATGAACTTATCTAATTCTTTTTAGACCCCCCCCCCCCACTATAGTTTTGGCCTTCACAGCATCCCCCCCCGGCAATGAGTTCCACAGGCTAACTGTGCGTTGTGTGAAGAAGTACTTTCTTTTGTTTGTTTTAAACTTTCCTCCTATTAATTTCATTGGGTGACCTCTGGTTCTTGTGTTATTTGAAGGAGTAAATAACATTTCCTTATTCACTTTCTCTGTTTCGCTCACGATTTTATAGACCTCTATCATATCCCCCCTTAGCTGTCTCTTTTCCAAACTCAGTAATCCCAATCTTTTTAATCTCTTCTCATATGGAAGATGTTCCATATCCTTAATCATTTTTGTTGCCCTTCTCCGTACCTTTCCCAATTCTAATATATATTTCTTGAGATGGGGTCATCAGAATTGCCCATAGCATTCAAGGTTTGGGCATACCATGGCACATCCCCATTATTGTGGCTTCCTAGATGCCAATAGCTCCCAGGACAGTGAGGCAGGAACTAGGAGGGAGAAAGAGCTATGTTTTATCTTTTTCACCTAAGTTTTATGGGACCAGATAGGGCCTGGGTAAAGTAGACTTGCACCCCTGACCCCACCCCATTCAATCTCAACTTCTTCCCCAGAAAACAGACCATATAGAGAGGTCAAGTATTGTGCTGTGGAAGCAGCTTCCATGCAGAATTGGAGCAAATCCTTGTGCAGAAGGGATACTGCATGTTTAGATCTAGGGAGCATGATCTAGCCCAATACTTGGTGCTTATATAGCAATCTTCATTCAGAGGCTGCTAAGCACCTTTACAAACTTTAAGGAATAGATCTCACAATATGCTGAGGTAGGTAAGTACTCCTTTTACTAATGGATGAAGTGGGCCACCCATACGGCGAGCGACATTCCAAAGCTCACACCATGAGTCAGTGGCGAAAACCCAATCCATAAATGTTGACACCTAGTCCCTCTTGTTACAACAAATGACACTGCCAGATACTGGATACCTATGTATTTTCCAGAATAGAAATAACTAAGTGCCTTTTCCATATCTTCCCAAACACTTAGCTTGATTTCCAGCGTCTACATACTAGTGTCGTATCTCATACAGAAAGGTAGAAATCTGAACAGCAGTTAATAATGCCCTCCTATTACAGTGAATTATACTTTTTATCTTGAAAAAACCCTCTAATTTGCTTGCATGAAACATCATAAATTGTGTAACTGTCTACTGCATATCTCTATTGAGATCAGAACACAAGTTTGAAATAAGACAGATAATAATCATTTTCATCCTGCAGTAGTTGTCATATTAAATACGAATGAGGTGCAAAAGTAGTATTGAACACAAGAAAAACCTAATGCTAAAATAAAAAGGCTGGAATATAAACTGGGAAGAGACCGGTAATTCAAAGTTAAGGCTAATATTTTGACTTTTTATTTATGCTGTTAGGCCTTGATTCTGGTCTAGTTAACTTCAGTGAGAATATCACTGGGCACTTAAAACAGTCTTTAGGCTTTTTGGTTTGTGACACAACTGTACCAAAAAGTACTTTTAAGGCAACTATGTATTCTTCTGTCTGATATCGAGCAGTGAATGTATTTGGTTCAAAATAAAAAAGTAGCATATCAGGAATAATTTTTGTTAAATTAGTCAGTTGCAATCAGAGCCAGTTTTCCATTTTTTTAAGGTAACCACCACCTACTATTCATCTGGATAGGCTAAACTCAAAAGGAATTTTCCTTTCAAATATGACAGGTTTCAGATCATGGTTATTAATCCAGAAAAATTCTGAGGAATGTAATACTATGTGCCTGGAAGGTCGAACAGGCAAAGGGATAGTGTAAACAATCTCCAAAAACAAAACAAGTACACCTATTTCATTTTAAAATACTTGTAGGAAGACCAAAAAAAAACAAAAAGTCAATACAAATAAGAAAGAGAACACATAATATATCAGTTTGTTAACTTTTTCCTATTTCCTTATGAACTAATTTATCATAGCAGAAGGAGATATTCAGTGAAAAAGATACCACATAGTCTGAAACGTTATTTTTAAACTTTCTTCTAGAACTATATTCTAAGAACAATATGACACTAGGTAATGCTCCGATAGGCCACTAGTACAATTCTTTGTTGGTTGAAATCACTTGGCCTACCCTACAGCCTCATGCCTCACTATGTACCCAACGCATGTGTTAATAACCTATTAATGCAAGCCCTGTTGTATGGCATTGCTCAATTTATTTTTCTGCTGTCGCAGCGTCTATCAACTCGAAAGAATCTTTGATAGCTGCTGCTATCTGTCTGGACTCCCTGAGCAGTTGCTGAATGAGTGCTGCCCAGCTCATACTAGCATCCAAAGAGCAGATGGGATTTCCACTCCTGTCCCCCGTCTTCGACTGCCTCCAATCTCAGTGAATAGCTTGTCCAACAAAAATGTAACCAACTTTCAATTTCCAGGAACACAATTCTGTTTCAGCTAAAATATTAGTCCAAACAGATATTTTAACTGTGAGCATAAATTGAAAGAGCTGGACTGCAGGAATGTCAGAAACCTGTAAGAGTAGGTAAATATTTTCTCACCACATCAGGTGCCTTCTGGATCTGTGTAGCAAGCTGGAGAGATTTGTTAGCTGACGAGAGCTGCTCCCTTAAGGTTTCTGCCTCTCTCTGAGCCACCTCTGCCCTCTGAAGGAAATGAAAAGGGGTGAAAAGAGAAAGTACATTCAGTTTAACAACTGACAATTATTACAAGAACATTCATCAATTCATGCCTGACTGACTATAATTGATTTTCCTAAACACTGAACCTAATAAATGTTAGGAAAAATACATAGAATGTGATGGATTTTTATTTTAAACAGTACAAGGAGGAAATAATTGAGCGATTATGACAGTAATTTAACGCTAGGAGCAAGGAATCCCCTGCTGATACTAATGCTGTGGCCCACTGAATTTCCCAGACTGAATAAATACAAGTGGAAATGGAGACTTTTTATTCAATTTCTTTCTATTCTTCTACACCAAGCAGATTTTATTGCAGGATTCCTCATGGGAATAATTCTCACGGAAAACACTGAATTAAAAGACATTCTGGCTATTCTCCCTAAAATATACAAATGCTTTGGGTTATCTTTCCTCAGCAATTATTTGCCAAAAAGTGAATTGTGAAGTTTTGTCCATTTCAGATGTTCTATTTATGTAACAATGTTTAACCCCTCCAAAGCCAACAACTTTGTATAAATCAGATACCAGCTACCGACAATTTCAGCAATATCTGATAAGCTTTTGGGGGGCAGGGACTTTTTGTTCTTTTTGTTCTGTTTGTACAGTGCACAATGGGGTCCTAACCATGATTGGGGCTCCCAGGAACTACTGCAATATAAATAATAATTAAAAAGATTAAAAAACCCATAGGTTTCAGGGGAAAGAATGTTCATACAGGAGTTTGGGTGGCAATTGGTGGATCACAGGTGACTTCAGAGAGCATGTGGGAGAAAAAGTGCTTTCTACCACCTGTTCTCAAGTTCCAATTAAGAAAAACAGCACAAAAATCTAATTATTTTTTACAGCACACCCCTCTTTTGGATTATTAGAAGTAAAAATTCTTATCCACCCTAATTATTACCTGCTCCATCCGGTCCCACCAATTAAAATATCACTCCTCTTCCAGTACAAATCAACTACAATCATCTTTTATGCCCACTGCTCAGACCATATTGCTCCTTTTTCTGAATCCCTGAGCTGGTTCAGTCCTGCCTCCAGATGAAGCACATGATACTAACAATCACTCTAAAGACTGTGCAATGCTGCCCCTATCTACACTGCAAATCTTGTCTGTTATCCAACTTGTCCCCTTTACTATGCCAATGATGTGCTCCCTTTATTTTCTTCTCCCACTCTCACCTTCATGCTTTCTTCTACACATCCCTTTACACCTGGAACGATCCTCCTATTTCTGTGAAACATACTCCCTCCCCTCATCAATAAATCCTTCCTGCAAGGTCCACAAACTAACAAAAACAAAGCCTATATCCTTTTTCTTGGTGTCACCTGTATTTTTTGTCTGATCATTGTCTGACTTTCAAATTATAAGTGACACTGAGCAGCAAATGTGTTTTAATTCAGATCTCATTCAGCATACTATCAGGAATTAAATATGTAATTTGTGATACTTTCTTGCAACATTTTGATGATTTTGCATAGGTTTCACAATAGTTGTTGAGAACAAATGTGGAATTGTACAAGTTCTAATAACTAGTACGAGACACTTAATCAGCGTACCATATGTGTGATGCATGAAAAGATGCCTGAAGCAGTCTTTTTCTGGTAATACTATTCCTCACTAAAGGGAAACTAAACTGGTTTCCATAGGTGGATAAAGTTGGGAGGGAAAACTGGATTAGCAAGTCTTATTGGGATAATTTATTTTCTCTCATTTACATTAGATGAATGTGAGAAAATATCAGAGGGGTAGCCATGTTAGTCTGTATCCACAAAAACAATGAGGAGTCCAGTGGCACCTTAAAGACAAGCAGATTTATTTAGGCATAAGCTTTCATGAGTAAAAAACCCCACTTCTTCAGATGCATGGAGTGAAAATTTCAGATACAGCCATAGATATATTGGCACATGAAGAGAAGGGAGTTACCTTACAAGTGGAGAATCAATGTTGACAAGGCCAATTCAGTCAGGGTGGATGTGGGCCACTCCCAATAATTGATGAGGTGGTGTCAATACCAAGAGAGGGAAAATTGCTTTTGTAGTGAACCAGCCACTCCCAGTCACTATTCAAGCCCAAATTAATAGCGTCAAGTTTGCAAATAAATTGTAGCTCTGCAGTTTCTCTTTGAAGTCTGTTTTTGAAATTTTTTTTTGTCGAAGGATGTCTACTTTTAAATCTGTTATTGAATGTCCAGGGAGATTGAAGTGTTCTCCTACGGGCTTTTGTATGTTACCATTCCTGATGTCTGATTTGTGTCCATTTTTACATAGAGAAGAATAAATAAATAAAAAGAAATTAAATAAATAATAAAAGTTTCCCTCTTTTGGTATTGACACCTCCTCATCAATTATTGGGGTGGCCCACATCCACCCTGACTGAACTGGCCTTCTCAACACTGGTTCTCCACTTGTAAGGTAACTCCCTTCTCTTCATGTGCCAATATATCTATGGCTGTATCTGTAATTTTCACTCCATGCATCTGAAGAAGTGGGGTTTTTTACTCATGAAAGCTTATGCCTAAATAAATCCGCTTGTCTTTAAGGTGCCACTGGACTCCTCATTGTTTTTGAGAGAAAATATTTATCCAATAATTGCTAAATAGCTACTGCAAAACAGAACAAGTTACTACACTGTGTTGTTACTACATCTAGTGTTGTATAAGTAATGGGTTTTGCACCCTTAAGCAATTCTGCTGATGGCTTCCATTCATAACAGCATTGTTTTGAGAATCTATTCACTCTGCATGCAAATAAACCACAGAGGATATTTCTAATAGATATTACATCTGCATATACTGTAAGCTGTCAGCTGCCCTTCCTTCCCACATAGTTTCCCTAGCCAATTTAGCACATCTGTTGTAATCTTGTGAATAATAAATATTAAACAAGATTTCATACTATGCATTGCTATGAAAGAAATCAACAAACTTCAGACAACTCTGATTGGAAAATATGGAAAAATATGTTTTTTGTTTTTAAGACTATATGCTCTTCAGGGTAATGACTGTGGATGCCTCAGCATTTGAAAAGCACTTAGTAAACTTCTGGGTGCTCCTGCAATATAAATAATAAACTTACCATACAAAAAACTGTGGAAAAAGAACGTTAAGGTTGCAAAATCAAACACTCAAAAGTTGGAAATGCCACAATAAGGCTTCCTGTGCAATCTTAGTTGACCTCCCCTTGTGCATACGCATTATGATACAATCTTCAGTTGCATGATCACGCGCTCCCCCCGCCCGCCCCCCAAAGGACTCATGCCTGAATCAGTGCACAGAAGGCATGGTGCTCAACAACTAAGCAATTATTCAATATTTTATTTTATCCTTGTTGTTCAATGATTAGCCCTGTTACTTATTTACTGCTCAGTATTCAAAGTCTGCTCTGAATAGTTATTCATTTCCTCATAGGTTTTTCTATGGCTTTTGTCACTATAATATCTGAATGCTTCACAAAAGTAATGTATTTTCACTCATCCCCTGAAAGAGGAATGGGTATTATCCCAATTTTATACATGGACAACTGAGGCACACAGAAATTAAAGTAAAAATTATTCACTAATTTTTGGTGCTCAATTTTGGACAACTAGAACCTGATTCTTCAGTTTACTTTACATTCCATAGCACAGGGGTGGCCAACCTGTGGCTCCGGAGCCACATGCAGCTTTTCAGAAGTTAATATGCGGCTCCTTGTACAGGCACCAATTCCAGGGCTGGAGCTACAGGTGCCAACTTTCCAATATGCCAGGGTCTGCTCACTGCTCAACCCCTGCCCCTGCCCCCACTCCACCCCTTCCTGCCCCCTCCCCTAAGCCTGCAGTGCCCTCGCTCCTTCCCCACCACCCCCGAGACTCCTGGACGCCACGAAACAGCTGATCGGGGGGGGGGGGTGCAGGGAGGGAGAGGGAGGCACTGATCAGTGGGGCTGCCGGGGGGCAGGAGGCGCTGGGAGCAAGGGGAGGGGCTGATGGGGCTGCTGATGTATTACTGTGGCTCTTTGGCAATGTACATTGGCCACCCCTGCTATTGCACATTGTAGGTTCATAGGACAGTTCCCACTGACTTCAGCTGCAGCGATGAGTACTCAACACTTCCGCAAATTAGACTTGAGGGTCTCAAGGTGGACACCAGGAAATGAGGAACACACAATTAGTGGCCATCTATGACAAGTTTGGCTTAAATGATTTGCCCACCACCACACTTCTCCTCTGGTAGAGGTTTGGATAAAATCCAGTTCTCTAGGGGAGCATTCAACTGTCTTAACTACCTTTCTCTTCCTGCAGTCCCCTGCCTCATTCACTATAAACCTTCCAACTTCTGCCACAAACGAAGCATGGGTCCTGCAGTCAATGGCCTCCTTCATTACACAACCCTGATTTCTCCATAGAACACAATCCTGTCCTCTGAATAAGGCACTTGTCCTGTGGAAAAGGGGAATATGTCCCAGTCTTCTACCCACCTTGACTCCCAGTCCCTGTTTCCTTGTCCATCCAACCCAGTCTTTCCCTCCCTTCGTTGCTAGCTTCCATTTCCAGTCTCCAATCACAGTTTGCTCCATGCTTCCCCGACGCCAGCAGGGGGAACATCGAGAGCAAAGGAGAGTCTCTCTGCTATCAGTTCCGGTGCCCAGCACCAAAGCAGCCTATATCAACCAGAAGCAGAAATTGCAAGGAAAGTCCTGCTCAGCCTGCATCCCCAAGTTGGAGAGTACTCAGTATTGACAGAATCAGAGAATTTAGTTGCCAAACTATAACAAGTCTCAACTGAGGATGTACAAACTGAGATTTCTCAGAGGCTTAAACAGACCAAACTTGGAAATTTTTTTGCCACAGGAACAACAGATTGCACATCCTTGATACAAAGGACACCTGCCTTTGCCAAGCTTCAGGTCCCAGCTCTGAAGCATGGAGGCAGTAGAGCTTCTTACCAAAACAGTTACAAGAATTTTAACATGGGAAAAACATT